TACAAACTCTAGCTCTTTTAGATTCAGGACAATCGCATCCGGAAGTTTATCAAAGGTCCGAGGGCGCGGAAACGGGGTGCAGTACTGTACATGTATAGTTTGAATGTTGTCCGTCGCAGCGGTCCCGAAACGCCCTAAGATCCAAAAAGACGTGGCTCGCTATAAGGTGGGCGTCGTCAAATCAACGTCTTTTAGCTCTCACCGGTTGAGCGGCTCTAAAATTACCCTAAGATCGAAAAGACGTTGCTTTCGCTCTCAGGTGGTCGAGAGGTTGCGTCGTCAAAATAGCAGCTGCCTCGAAAGAACGTTCCAGGACTGGTCTCGCAGGTAAATTACGGAAGAGAGTCGCTATTGTGCCGGACTGAAAACGCAAAAAATTAATTGTCAAGGAAATTATGAGTCCCTCGTACGGTTAAATTTGTATACCCGTATACGGAGCTTTTGTGCCACTCATTTAGGGGCACTCCATTTCGAGAAGAGCAGCGCCAGCAATGGATCGGCGCCAGCCTGCACGCGCGTCGAAGAAGCGGCCCTCAGAGGAAGCCTACAGCGGGGGCAGTGAGAATGACGGCTTGGACTTGAGCTGGGTGGACGACTCCGCCGTATCCAGTAGTTCCAGTGCAGCGACGTGGAGTGTCGAGGATTCAAGCGTGACTGATACGCCTGGCGAGAGAACAAGTGGAGGTAGTAGCGGAAGAGGATCTCCAGAAGTCTGTGCAGACTTAGTTGAAACGCAGTTTCAGTCCTGGGAAGCCTTTCACTCGTATCTGGACGATTATCAGAAGCAGACTTACCAGGTAAGGGCATTGATGGCACTATGTATTACATTATGAGAGTATTCAACGGGTTTGACCAATTTACTGTAGGTTTTTAGAGTGCGATCAACTAAAAGCGTGGCAGAACGGAACATGCTAATCCAGAAGGCCCAGAAGCCGTCTTCAACGCTCATCCCAGAGGCATGGTGTACGTACGCAAAGACGCTCATTTGCACGCATGGCGGCAAGTACAGATACCGTGGTAAAGGGAAGAGGCCACGTCAGGAAGTACGCCCGATCGAGTGCAAGGCCCAGGTGCGAGGCGTTGACTGTCGGTCACTGCCGGTCACAGTCGGTTGTAGTCTGGCACTGTCGGTCACAGTCGGTTACTGATCGGTACTTTATGTAACAATACTATTCAACAGCTAACGTTGCTCATGTGTGTATACAGATAAACGCTTGCGTTCAAGTGGTGAACACATCCCCTCTTCATTTTGCAGTTTGCGTCACTAAGACTGCATTATCTCACAACCACGGATTGGGGTTGCGTACGTACCGCCATTATCCCGCTAATCGACTGGCTATAGAAGAAGATGTTTTGGCGACGGTCGACTCCCTCAGAAAGTCAGGCACAAAGACGCAAAATATTCTGAAATTTATCGTGGAGAACACCAGCAGCGATCCAACTCCTCAAGATGTGCGAAACCTAATCCGGAAGCTAAAGAAACAAGACCAGGGCGTGTCATCTCGTTCTCAGCGCATCAAGAAATGGATGGTGGACTTTTGTGCTGTTCAAGGGAACGTAGGGCATATTTTTGTGGACCCATCAGGCGGAAAGGTTCGTTTTGCGTCTCAAGTATTGTGAATCGGTCAGTTTGATTCTAAATGTGTGTGTTTGGTTTTGTAGAAAATCGCTACGTGTATTACACTACAAACGAAGCACATGATTGACATTTTTAGCAGATTCCCTGAAGTTTTAATGATCGACGCAACGCATGGTACCAACACCTCAAAGTACAAGATTTTTTCGTTCATGGCTCATGATATTTTCGGGAAAGGTCAGTACGTACAGCACGCTATCCTACAAAATGAACGAAGTGAAACGCTGTTCTCGGCGTGTGAAGAATTTAAGAAGCAGAATCCTTCCTGGACTACGCTGCAGTGTGTGATCGTGGACAAAGACTTTACCGAAATTGGAGTTTTGCAGACTGCTTTTCCAGACGTTCGTATACTTCTCTGTCAGTTTCACGTCGTGAAATATTTGCGGGAGGAGATTGCATGCGCCGACTATGGCTTCTCGGCGTGGCAAAAAAACAGCTTCGGGCAGTTGTCAATCTGGTGGTGTACGCAAAAACGGAACGGGAGTATGAAAAGCACCGACGCTACATGACACGTTTGACCTGTATTGGTACCAGCCTTGGCACCGCCACGGCTAGATCTGGTGCAATCGTGGAATCGGGTGCGGAATCTGTTGCAGTCGGTGGAAGTGTGGAGTCGGTTGCAGCATTAAGTACTGCTGTGGACACAGAGCAGGCTGCCTTAAATCACCCGGTTGGGACTTACTTTGCGAAGAATTGGGACGGGTGCAGGGACATGTGGTGTTCATTCACGAGACAAAGTGCGGTGACGTTGGGCAACAACACCAATAACAGACTTGAGGCGTCCTGGAAGCACATGAAGGAGATTGTAAATTCTTCAATGGTCTTAGATGAGTGTTTGGCTTCAATTATTTTCTATCAGACTCGATATGAACAGCTTCTGTACAACCGTGCAACCAAGATTTATCACGTCCATCACGAAGAATACGATAATGAGATGAATGTCGTGGCTAACTTGGTTAGCAAGCATGTATGCGAATTAATTCATGAGCAGTACGTGTACGCAACTGGTCCGGATTCCTATTCCTTTTACGAGGCAATGCCTGGAATGATCTTTATCAAGAATGAGAAAGATGCAGAAGGAAGTCTGGACGGGCCACGAGCAGAGTACACAATTACTAAGTCAACCTGGGAGTGTTCGTGTATATTTGCAAGTACGCGGCTATTGCCATGCAGGCATGTTTTCTACGTGCGTCAGCAACTGAAATTGGAGACAATTATTCCGACTCAGTGTTTCCATCCTCGTTGGTTGTTGTCTTCGATGAATGACACGCGTCCTCCGTTGGAGACCGAAAGGAACGGCTGTTCTGTGACTCGGATTGCATCGCTTCCAAAGCTTCCGTGGGACTCTAACCGCAAATTTCGCCAAGCTAATAGCTTTGCTACCGCCATAACGGAAGCTGTAAGCACGCTGGGAATGGCGGAATATCGGGTGGCAATTCAGGCGTTAGCGCAAGTATCAATGATGTTTACTGAAAAAAAGTTTGAGCTGATCAAGGAGCTGTCGTCTATGGGTCCAGTTCCTCAGTCAGTGATTCAGTCGGTAGCGTCGGTGGAGTCGGTGTCTCGGTCGGTGGAGTCTGTAGAGTCGGTGGCTTGGCTGATCAGTCGGCGGAGGCACTCGGTGGAGGCGGTTGACCACTCGGTGGAGGCGGTGTCCCCGATGTTGGAGGCGGTGTTCCAGTCGGTGGAGGCGGTTGACCACTCGGTGGAGGCGGTTGACCACTCGGTGGAGGCGGTGTCCCCGATGTTGGAGGCGGTGTTCCAGTCGGTGGAGGCGGTTGATCACGCGGTAGAGGCGGTGGAGTCGGTGCCGCAGTCGGTGGAGTCGGTGCCTCAATCGGTGGATCACTTGGTGGATCATTCGGTGATGCAATTGACTCAAGTTCTTGAATCCGAACCAATTAATGCGGAATCACCTGGATTCGAGATAGCAAGTCCCTTACGCCCGCGAGGCCGCCCGAAGCAGAAGGCAAAGACTAAGAAAGCGAAGAGGAATGTATCTATCCTAATGGCACAAGATGATTCGATACTTCACGACCAAGGTATGAGCCTCAAAACAGTCAAGGTTCTCCTTTCAAATGAACCTACCTACGCATCATGTGCTGAGCCGCTACGCCGATTCCAGCTATTTGTTTTTGATAAGAAGATGAAGCCCCCAATGCCCTACCTTATTTCGAAGATGCCGGCTAACAAAGTTATCATGGATCCAATCGACATTTCTCGTATTTTGGCCAAAGAGATACTCCAGCGAGCGAGCAAAAAGGTAGTTACCCTACAAAAGAAGCACAAGGAATTGCCAGAGCTAGACTTTGCAGTTGATTTTCCTGGTCTATTTGTAATCGGGATGCAGACACTGAGAACCATGAAGCTATGGCACCAAGCAGTCAAAGAGCTAAACAATATCGAGAGAGCCGTAAAATGGATATCAGAAATTGATTTCTCGCTGGATATTTCGCCTGTATTTCGGGCCGAACCAGATGCAGAATTGGCGTCAAAACTAGAAGCAATTCCGATTTTCTCTGAAAGGGTAAGCACTTTGCATATTTTAAGGGTAGCAGCAACTGACACTTTGTATACGTATTTTGTAGATTCGGATCGTTGACTTTGCATGCAGATCACTACTTAGTGACACTGCGTTGGCAGAGGCAATAGCAAAGCTATTTGGGCAGCAAGAGGAAGTCATGACTGTTGACCCAGCTATATGGGGGTATCGTGGAGAGAGGAAATGTGAGCATTCCAGACGAAGAGTTAAAGCACTTGTTCAGTTGTATTACTGGGCCAATTATACTGCTTCCAGTGAGCTGTAACGGCACGCACTGGTGCGGTATCATGATCAACACAGCTGAGACAACTATCAAGTACTATGATTCCATGAGCAGCAGCTACACTGGTACCCTTAGAGTACTAGCGCACAAACTTGTGCAACACATGTCGGCTACACCAGGACGTTACAGAGTGGTTCCCTATGTTGCGGATGCTGAAGTCCAACTAGACAGCTACAACTGTGGGGTGTACGTTCTGCTTGCATTCGAAACGTTCTGTAGCGGAGAAAGCACAGGTGAATTGAGTAAGAAGGCACTGCAGTACCAGCGTTATCGCTACTTGCAGATGTGCATGTGAAGCAATACACTTTGTTTAACTTGAATTATTTAGTTGCTGTTAAAACACATTGTGTCGGAAACATCACAGAAAGGTTGGATTCGTCCTTGAGGTTAACATCGGCCTTGAGGATGACTTTGCTCTAAAAACACTAAGTGCTCGTATCCGGATTATACAGCATATACAAGAAGGGTGAATTTCTTTGTCGGGCACAATCGGTCACGTCGGTGGTCAGTCGGTCACGAATGGCTCGTCTTCGTACCTTTCAGTCGGTCACAATAACGCCTGCCATTACGGAAAGTAAAAAAACTGCCGGCGTAATGTTCCATGTCATACTACTAACGTTTTCGTGGGAAATGCCTGATGCCGAGTTTCCAGATATTGAAAAATTCAGGCGATTCTGCGGGGCCCAAAAAACTGAATTCGGAATTACTACAGCGATGGCGCTCTCTCGGAATGAGTAATCGTTTGGCCTGGTTAAAAGCTTCGTACACTCTGGTTGCTTATACAAGTGTTTGGCCTTCTGTAGCCGCACAACTTTGTCAGTACAGCCATGTGTGTAATTGACGCACATGCTGCCGAACTGTACTGTGATACCGTACTGTACGTATTACGAAGTAGTACCGATATTAGTGATTGGATACTTTAAGAAGCATGTTTCCTGTTCATAATTTAAAAAAGAGTATGCAACCGTTATAACTAGTTTGCACTGCTCGCCACAATCGGGGTAGGAAGTTGAAGGTTGCTGCGCAACAGCAGTAGCGACTCAATAGCTAGGCCTTTTCGGTCGTCGTGGGCATCATGCTCTTGCTTGTGATCGGCCAAATAGTGCCACTCCATTCCTGCATGGATAAAAACATCTTAGAATATCGCATCCGCGTTATTGATTCACTAGATGATCTTCATACCGGGATGATCGGGCCCAGATCAACGTCGTCTGTATCCCAGCTGACGATTTTGTGCACTGCGGGAATCATGTGGTCGAGCACAAACACAAGCGCCAGGGTGATCTGACCCAGCACGGCGTCGCCGAGCTCCATGGGTGTGTGTGGCTTGTACATCATTCTCTTATGCTTTTCTCTCAAGTTTTGTTGGTCTTGGTCTGGATGACGCAAATTGGTAACTGAGTCTCAAAGGCACCCATTTCATTGACCACCATTCGTGATGAGCATGTGTAATTATTATAGCAGCATAGAAATGATTAACGTCAACTTCAGCCTGCGAAAAACCCACTTGCCAATCGCCTCTTTTGTAGATTTCAAGAAGATCTTTCATTTAGCAGAGCGATATACACATTGCGTCATCATCGCTTTAAGTTGTGACTGTTGCTGCGATGCTTCAAAAAAACTTCTTCAACAAAATATGGGAATTCGTTTTTTGCGTTGGTAGTGCCGTGTCGGTGGGCCATCGTGTCGTCGGACGCGAAGCGAACAGGTGACGACGGCGACCATTTTGAAGCGCGTTGAAACAAGTGCCACGTCGGAGTCGTGCCAACTGGGAAGTATGTCGTATGACTCTCGCTTTTTCATAAAGGCTCTTTAGGTCGAGCGATCCAGGCTAAAAAGTCAATCGCCGTCAACTGACCGGTCCTGGAGCTATCTCCGATACAGTAGGCGTTGCCGACGACGAAACGCCTGACACAGTGACGTGTGCAGCATGTTGCCCTTCCGTGGCCCCGCGAATGGTGGCAATCCGCGATCAAGTTTATTGCATTCTGTTTCGTCAACACTTTTCACCTTTTATCTCATGTTTATGTTGTAGAATTTAGCGCTAATTACAAAAGCGACAACTTCAATTATGAAAATTCGGACGCATCTCGTCGATAACAAGGAGAAACATTGTGTCGCATTAGATCTACTCTATGGCGATACACCACACGCTATATATACAGTGTACACACCACCACCAGGTATTATTACCCCGTACACGACACTTCTGTCGTGACGACGAGAAAACGATGCGTCTGGAGAGACGCGTTTGCTTGAAGTTCTTCACAGTTTTCCACGTAAGCTGAAGTTGATGTCCGTAGCTGAGACACAGTCGAGCGTCCCGCAATGCAGTCTCTATGTTACGGGACGCAAAAGAACGCCGCGATCCAGAAGGTCGACGTGTACTAATTCACAAAGCTGCCGTCTTCAGACTCAGTTACCAATTCCCGCCAAGACCAACAAGACTCCGAAAAGAAGAACACTACTTCAAGAGAATGCTGTACAGACCACACACACCTATGGAGCTCGGGGATGCCGTGATAGGCCACATCACGAGTGCATTCGTGCTTGTGTTCGGCTTTATCGTCCCCGCTGTACACAGCGTTGTTAGATGGGAGACCAACCTCAGTCCCATCGTTCCGGTACGATAAACTGCACCACTGACAAATCGGCTGGACTAACGTCAAAATTATGTTTAATTAAAGAAATGGGCTGGAGACATAAGCCCAGTCAGCAAAAACAAGGCGCTCGATTCGCTGCCCCGCCACTAATTTGGCTTATTAATAGCTCGTGTCGGGTACTGGTACTGTTTCACTGCGCGACGACGGTACCATCAGCGCAAGGAGTCTGAATCAACTCGACCTTAACAGCGACTGCCCGCTTACATACTGCTTTAATTTATACTTTTTAAACATGCGCTGCTTTGGCCCTGTAGCACCTAAAAAATGTTGTTGTGCTTTTTTGGGGAGCTAATTCAAGTACTCTACAAAAAAGCGCTTTCGAAAACGGTATCTTAAAAAAAAAAAGCAATAGGAGCTTTGATGTCGCTTTTAAGTCTGACGTTGAAAAGTGCTCGCTTAACTGAGGGTCGCTCTTAACCACGCCATGGCACAAAATGCTGTGATCCGATTGGATGAGCGCTTGCTAGGGCTAGAGTTTAAAGTAAATAAAATGACAGGAAGTGCCACGGACATTCGCAAGTGTCATGGCAAGGGGCAATTGCCATGTGCCATGCTACTTTTATTTGCATTAATGAATATTTTAAAAATAGTTTTCATGATGGCACAGTGGCAGGTCTATTCGTAACCACGCCATGCCATGGCTCAATCTCTAGTACCATGGCATGGCACACGTGGCAGTGGCTAAGAGCCACCCTGAGAAAAAAAACTTTCTGTTTTTCTAAAAGCACTTTGATTTCGAAACACTTTTTTCAATGACATTTTATCAAATCATTGCGATTTAAAATAAAAAGGAATTCCAAAGGTGTTAAACAAAGCGTTTCTTTTTGAAAAAACGACTCTTAATTATTTTGGCTTTATAATATGATCAAATATTAATTGAACCCTTTTTTTCGAAAGCGTTAAAAAATCGAGCTCTTACCAAACGGTTTTTCGCTTAATGGTCAGCCAGCCATCCGTCAAACCGACGTCTACCACAAACATCAAGATGACCGACTCCGCCGGTGCGAAAATGAACGCTGCGACCATCGCCGAGCCCTTCTGCTTGGCCGTGCGCCAGTATATTGAGCAGGACATGGGTGGCGTGGGTCCCAAGCTCGTGGGTTTGCTGGCTCACGGCCCAAGAAGTACGCCGAGTGGACGGGCAAGACCTGTGCACGCGACGGCATCCGCTACGAGCTGCGCGAAGTGCCCAAGGACGGGCTGCTGGAGGCTTTGGAGAAGGCCAACAAAGACTCGGATGTGCACGGTATTCTCGTGTACTACCCGTGCTTCGGCGCCTTCCCGAGCTTCTTCGGTGGCACCATGGACGATTTTTTGCGCGACAGCATCAGCATTAAGAAGGACGTGGAAGGACTGTGCCAACTCTACCGTGGCAACTTGTACCGTAACATCCGCTACGTAGACGACGAGAAGACGCAAAAGTGCGTGCTGTTTTGCACACCTTTGGCAATTGTCAAGATCCTCGAACACCTTGGCGTTTACGACAAGACCAAGCCTACTGGCAACCACTTGTCAGGTGTTAACATCACGGCTATTAACCGTAGTGACATTGTCGGCCGCCCATTGGCTGCTATGCTTGCGAATGACGGCGCTGACGTGTACAGCGCCGACATTGACTCGCTGTACCTATTCCGTCGCGGTAAGCTCATCCCGAGCGAAGAGACGCAGGAGACGGCGTGTAAGA